AGTGTGGTAACCCTGGGGGCACGGGGCAGGGGACACTATCCCTGGGGGGGGGGGCGCCCGGTATCCCCGGGCCGGGGCAGGGGGGGCGTATGCTCAGGGTCAGACAGGAGGGGTATCTCTGGGGGATGGGGAGGTGGCAGAGGGTCCCAGGGAAGGGTAAAGGGCCCCCCCTGGGGGAGTCATGTTGTGCCCCTTCTCCCCATCAGGATGGGGTCCCCCAGCCTTGGCCAAAGCTCCGAGTCCCCATCACTCCCCCATAAGGTGGGGACCCTCGCAGAGCTCCCTGGGGTGGAGGGCAGACCCCCCATTAATGCTGTGTCCCCCCCCAGCTGTCGGGGCTGGCGCTGAAGGTGGGGATCCTGTACTACGGGGGGCGGCTGGTCACCGCCGGAGCCGTGAGCACCGGGGACCTGGTCACCTTCGTCCTCTACGAGATGCAATTCACCACGGCCGTGGAGGTGAGTGGGGGGGGGGCACCTGCCTGGGGATGGGGGCTGTGGGGGGGCACACCCAGCCCTGATCTTCCATGCCCCCCAGGTGCTGCTCTCCATTTGCCCCAGTGATGGGGGGTGGATGGGGGGCTGTGGGGTGAGCTCACCCAGCCTGAATCCCCCTTGCCCCCCAGGTGCTGCTCTCCGTCTACCCCAGCGTGCAGAAGGCTGTGGGCTCCTCGGAGAAGATCTTTGAGTACATGGAGCGGACGCCCCGGATCAGCCCCCCCGGTACGCTGGCCCCCCCCCGCCCTGCGCGGGCACCTCCAGGTGCAGGATGTCTGGTTCTCCTACCCCGGCCGGGACAACACCCCCGTGCTCAAGGTACCAGTTGGGGGACCCAGCGCAGAGTCTGGGTCAGGGGTGGGAATTCGGGGGGGATCCAGAGCAGAACCAAGGATTCGGGGGCAGTAGCTGGAGGGGGTATGGGGGGGCTGCAGGGGGGGGGGTCAGGGGGGTCGGCCGGGGGGTCTGGGGGCAGAGCCACAGGGGGAGGGGAGGATGGGGGGTATAGGGGAGGGGTGCTGGGAGCCCAGGGATGGGGGAGGGTCCCCCGTGTCTAACTCCTCTCCTCCTCAGGGGGTGTCTCTGGAGCTGCGCCCCGGGGAGGTGACGGCGCTGGTGGGCCCGTCGGGCGCGGGGAAGACGGCGCTGGTGGCCCTGCTGGAGCGTTTCTACGAGCCCCAGCGCGGGCGCCTGCTGCTGGACGGGCGGGACCTGCGGGAGTACGAGCATCGTTATCTGCACAGCAAGGTACCCCCCTCCCCCCCCCACTTCCCCCAGCATCCCTCCCCCCATCACGACCTGCACCGCAAGGTACACCCCTGCTGTCCCCCCACCTCCCCCAGCATACCCTTCCCCATCGCTACCTGCACCACAAGGTACCCCCCTGCCGCCCCCCCCACTGCTCCCCCGGCATCCCCTCCCCCCATCGCTACCTGCACTGCAAGGTACCCCCCTGCCGCCCCTCCACTGCCCCCCCCCATCGCTACCTGCACCGCAAGGTACCCCTGTACCCTCCCACTCTGCTCAGGTGTCTCCATGTCCCCTGGCTTGTCAATGTCTGGGGCATCGCCCCACCTCCCTCCCTCCCTCCACGTGGGGCAGGGATCCCAGACGTTGGGGAGGGGAAGTCCCTGGCCGCAGGACCCTCTCGGGGGGCCTTCTCCAGCCAGCCCCACACTAGGTCCCCGGGGCCCCTCAGCCTCTGTCAGCCCCCTGTTAGTGTGGCGAGTCTGTGCGTTCTCAGCCCCTCGATCTCCCGACCTCACCCCGGCCCCCAGGTGGCGCTGGTGAGCCAGAAGCCGGTGCTGTTCGCCCGCTCGCTGCACGAGAACATCGCCTACGGGCTGGGGGGGCGCAGCCGGCAGGAGGTGATGGGGGCTGCCCGGCGCGCCAACGCCCACGGCTTCATCGCCCGGCTCAGCCACGGCTACGACACAGGTACTGAGCCCTATACACCCCCTTGGGACCCCTATACCCCTCCCCAGCACCCCAGTACCCCCCGTGACCCCCAATCCCCCTGGGACCCCTATACCCCTCCCCCCAGCACCCACTGGGACCCCCCACTCCCCTGGGAACCTTATACCCCTCCCCCAGTGCCCCCTATACCCCTCCCCCAGTGCCCCCTGTGACCCCCAACCCCCTGTGACCCCAATACTCCTCCCCCAGCACCCCAGTGCCCCCCCGGGACCCCTATACCCCTCTCCCTCAGAGCCCAATATCCTCCTAGTACCCCCAACTGCCAGGACCCCCTATACCTCTCCCCCAGGGCCCCCACCCTCCACAGGACCCAAACACCCCCCACCTCTCATGGCTTCATCACCAGCCTGAGTCACAGCAGAGACACAGGGACTGCACCCCAATACCCTGTGGGACCCCCAAACCCTGGGGACCCAAATCTTCCCCATGGCTACTCTCTGGATACTGACTTCGGGGGGGCACGGGGGGGCCCCCGGTACCGCCTCCATACACACAGGTACCAACACTAGATCTCGTCCCTTCCTGCTCAGGCCCCCGACACCCCCACCTGCCTGGTACCCCAATACTCCCGCAGCCCCATGGCTACGACACAGGGACTGAACCCAGCCCTCCTCTTCCCCCCTGGCCACAGCACAGGTACCAGCCCTGATCCCACCCTGTGACCCCCCCAATAAACCCCCTAGGAACCCCAGAACCCCTCCCCACAGGCCACGACACAGTACCCAGCCCTGCCCCAGGGTGTGTGTTGGGGGGGTGTAGCTGGGGGGGGGCTACCCAAATGCTGCACAGGGCACTGACCTCAGCTCTCCCCCCACAGACGTCGGGGAGATGGGGGGGCAGATCTCGGGGGGGCAGAGGCAGGGAGTAGCCATCGCCCGAGCTCTGCTCCGAGACCCCCGAGTGCTGATCCTGGATGACGCCACCAGCGCCCTGGACACGGAGAGTCAGCTGTGGGTGAGTGATATGGGGGGGCCACAGGTTGGGAGTGAGGGGCAGTGGCAGGGCTGGGTGGGGGAGCCCAGGACTAGCAGGGGGTTGTGGGTTGGGAGTGAGGGGCATTGACAGAGACTCCATTGGCTGGGGCAGGGGTTGGGGGTTGGGGGTTGGGGTGGGAGCTGGTGAAAGGGGGGGTCCCCACACAGCCCCCCCAATCAGGCTGTTCGTTACCCCGGATGTCTGTCACTGCAGGTGGAGAAGGAGATTTATGAGGGCGCCCGGGCCGGGCGCTCGGTGCTGCTCATCGCCCATCGCCTGAGTGCCGTGGAGCGAGCCGACCGCATCCTGGTGCTGGAGGACGGGGAGATCCGGGAGCAGGGCACCCACCGGGAGCTGCTGGCGCGCCGGGGCACTTACTGGCGCCTGGCGCAGAAACAGCTCAACGGGGACGCGGGGGGCAGCTCCGAGGAGGGGCTGGGGGCCGGAGGGCCGTGAGGCTGGGGCCGCGGGGATCCTGCGGGAAGGGGGGTTCTCAGCCCCTTCTGCACGCGTGGCTCCTCCCCAGGGTAGGGGGGAGTTCTCAGAGCCCCCCCCCCATACGCGGCTCCTTCGCCCTGGGGAGCTGGCACAGGAGACAGGACCAGAGGGTGCGCAGGGGGCTCCGTGTCTGGACAAACCCCAGCTCTGAGACCCATTGTGCTGCAGAGAGACGGGGGCCCTCCCCAGCAGGGGGCTGTGCTGGGGGAGCTGAGGGGGGTGAGCGAGGGGCGGCTGGTGTTTGCCTGGTTTGTGTGTAATAAAGTGTCTGGTTTTTCATGTTTCCTGTGTGATCCTTGGTGTGTGCCCCCTCCCCCCCGGCACCAGGTCACCCCAGGGCCCAGCCTCACATCCAGGGGCCTGGAACCCCCTGGGGGCAGGATCCCCCTTAGAACGTGCTGCTGTGTCCCTGCCCTCTCCCTCCCCATGTGCCCTTGGGGGGGTCCCTGCCCAGGGTGGGGGGACCCCAGGGTGCCAAGCAGCCGGTGCCAACTCTGCTGGGTCTGAGCTGGGCAATACCCCGGGCAGGGCTGGGAGCTGTGAACGCCCCGGAGCAGTGCCGAAGGGGGGAGGTGTAATTAGCCGAGCCCCGCCCTGGGAGGGGACGACCCGCGTCAGCAGTTACCAGGCAGATCGGGCTGCACCAGGTTAGAGCGGCCCCAAACCCCGCCCCCTCGTGTGCGCCCAGCGCCGGAGCAGCGCCCCTGGGGGCGGATGGGGGCAGCGCAGGGAGGGTCACACGCCCCCCCCCCCCCGGCGGGGGAGGGGGGCGCGCGGGCCGGGTCCTGGGCGGCGGGGGCCCCCCCCCCCGGGGGGTCCCTGCGCCCTTCAGCGCCACATTCCCCGCTGGCTGCCCAGGGCCCCGCCCCAAGGACTTCCCCTGAGCAGCCTGTGCCCCCCCGGGCTCCCCTGCGCCCCCTCCCCCAGAACCCCCCCTGCGCCCTCAGCCCCTCTCCAAGCGCCCCTGGAGCGTACTGGCCCCGCGGCGCCCGTCAGTGCCCAGATGTTCCCTCCCCTAAGAGCCCCCCGCGCCCCTGAACCCGCCAGTCCCTCCCCAGCGCTCCCCCGGGACACCCCCCTGCGCTCTCATCCCCAGCCCGTGCGCCCCTCTCCAGCGCGCCGTGGCCGGGCAGGGCGGGCCGGTCCCTCCCCAGCTCCGCTTTCGGTTTCTCTTCCCCCGGCCCCGGCGCTCAGAGCGGGCGGGAGGCGCAGCGAGGCGGATGGCGCTGTTTGAAGTGTGCGGGGCCCCCCGGGGGGGCTGGGACTGGGCCCCCCCCGGAGCCGCCGCCGCGCCCCGGGGACCCGATCACTACAGCTTCGGCCTGCGGGCCCCGGAGCTGGCCCTGCCCAGGGGGGAGCAGGTCAGTGCGGGGGGGGGGGGGGGGGGGGGGGCCGTGGGGGGAGGAAGGGGGCAGAGCCCTGGCACTGGGACCCCCTAACCATCCTCCTTCTCCCCCACAGCCGGCCCAGTTCCTGCAGACGTTCTCCGCGGAGGGCCGGGACCGGGTGCGGATCCAGCTGGCCCACGGCACCACCACCCTGGCCTTCAAATTCCAGCACGGGGTCGTCGTGGCCACCGACTCCCGGGCATCGGCCGGCAAATACATCTGTGAGCCCCTGCCCCGCACTGGGCCTTTCCCCTCCCTGTTCATCCGGTTGGGTCACCCCAGGGTATGGGCCAGGCAGCATCAGACACGCTAGTCTCCCTAGCGAGCCAGGCCTCACCGGCCTTTCCAACCATGCAACCATCTGTCTATCCATCGCCCCCCACCTCCCGTGTCCAGGTGACCTTCTACATCCCTCTGCACCCCCCAACATTCCCACCCCCCCCCTGCACCCCGCACACAGCCCACACCACCCCAACACCCCCTCACGCCCCTGACACCCCCTGCTCCCCCTAACATTCCCACACACCCTCTGCACCCCCAACATTCCCACACAGTCCTCTGTACCCCGCAAACAGCCCACACCACCCCGACACCCTCTGAGAGCCTCCCACACCCTCCTGCACTCCCCAACATTCCTTCAGCCCAGCAACACCCCCTTTCCTCCAGCCTGCCTGGCAGCCCCCACACTCTGCCCCCCCGATAGCCCCGAGGGGTTTCCTAATTCCCCCGGGACTTGGCAAGCCCCCGCCGCCACATACACCCCCCCACCACTCACCCAGCTCACGATGTGCCCAGCTGCTGGGCCCAGAGAGAAACACCCACCCCCGACTCCCGCCCCTCCTGAGCCCTGGGGGTGGGTCTCCGCAGCGGGGGCCCCAGTAACGTCCCTGCCCGTCTCTCCCGCAGCCACCCTGCAGTTCAACAAGGTGATCGAGATCAACCCCTACCTGCTGGGCACCATGTCGGGCAGCGCCGCCGACTGCCAGTACTGGGAGCGGCTCCTCGCCAAGCACTGCAGGTGCCCGCCCCGATGGGCCCCAGGCCCCGCTCTCGGGGAGGGCAGTGTGGGGCTGCTGGGCAGTTTGGGTGGGGGGAAGGGGGTGCAGGGGGCGTTGGGTTTGGTGGGTAGCGGGAATGTTTTGGGTTGCAGGGGGATTGGGGTGGGGTGGGCTGCTTGTGGGGTGCAGCGGGGTGTGTGGGAAGGTATGGGGGTACAGAGGGCTATGGGTGTGTTATGGGGGTGCAGCAGGAATTTGGGGGTGCAGAGGGGCATGGGGGCATGTTACAGGATGCAGGGAGTTGTTAGGGGTGCAGGGGATTTGGGGGCACTGGGGGGGAGTCCTGGGTGCTCACCCCATCGGTCCCCCCCCAGGCTCTACGCCCTGCGGAACAAGGAGCGGATCAGCGTCTCGGCCGCCTCCAAGCTGCTGTCGAACATGCTGTGCGAATACCGGGGCATGGGGCTGTCCGTGGGCAGCATGATCTGCGGCTGGGACAAGAAGGTACCGATCCTCGGCCCTGTCCTGTGACCTCCAGCCCCGTACCCCCCGCACCTCCCTCTGAGCCCCCAGCCCTGCCCCCAATCCCCCACCTCTGAGCCCCCAGCCCTGCACACCCCACCCCACCTCTGAGCCTCGCACACTGGGATCCTTGAGTCTGAGCTCATGACCCACATCTCTGAGCCCTTCTACAGAGAAGACCACCCCCCATCAGTGGTTTGAGCATTGGCCTGCTAAACCCAGGGTTGTGAGTTCAATCCTTGAGGGGGCCATTTAGGGATCTGGGGCAAAAATCTGCCTGGGGATTGGTCCTGCTTTGAGCAGGAGGTTGGATTAGATACCTCCTGAGGTCCCTTCCAACTCTGATATTCTATGATTCTACCCATATCCCTAACCCCCCATCTATGAGCCCCCTCCCCACACACCCCTGACTGGCTGTCTCTGAACCCCCAACTCTCTGCAGCCCCCCTGACTGTCTCTCCCCGCAGGGCCCCGGGCTGTACTACGTGGACGATAACGGGGCGCGTCTCTCCGGCCCCATGTTCTCCACGGGCAGTGGGAACACCTACGCCTATGGGGTGATGGACAGCGGGTACCGGCCCGACCTCAGCGTGGAGGAGGCATACGACTTGGGGCGCCGCGCCATCTCCTATGCCACCCACCGCGACGCCTACTCCGGGGGCGTCGTCAACAGTAAGGAGACCAGAGGCTGGGGAGGCCCTAGGGGTGATTGCCCTGGGCTGCTGTCCCCATTACCTGGGTCCCATTCCCCCAACCCTTGGGGGTGAGCACCCTGCACTGCCCTCCCGGATGCCTGGGTCCCATCCCCTCACACCAAAGGGGTGGGAGCTCAGCTCGGCCTTCCCGGACACCTGGGTCCCGTCCCGTCACTCTCCGGGTACTGGAAGGCTGGTGCATGGCCCTGCACTGTCGTCTCTGATGCCTGGGCTCCATCCCCATCCTGGTCTCTGCCCCCCCTCCCCGGAGCTGGTGCTACCACTCACTCTCACTGCCCCTCGCTCTCCCTGTCCTCCCCCCCAGTGTATCACATGAAGGAGGACGGCTGGATCCGGGTCGGCCGGACGGACGTCAGTGACCTGCTGCACCAGTACACGGACGCCAAGCAGTGAGATGGGAACGGACCCGACACCCCGCACTCAGGGACCAGCGAGACTCAGGGCTGCAGCGAAGGGGGGGGGCGTGGGCGGGGAGGGGGGGTCAGTGAAACGAGTTTCTGTGTGTGACGGAATAAAGTGAAGTGGTGAAAAGTGCGGCTGCTGGTGTCGATTTAATGGCGTTTCCCTGCAGCGCGGGGGAGGGAGAGTCATACAGGGCAGCTGGGGGGGTCCGATGGGGGGGGGGGGGGCGGGGCTGGTTCCAGGGATGAAGCTGTGGGGGAGCCACAGGAATTCAGGGGTGTTTAATGCAGCTTTGGAAATCCAGGAACTAGCCCACACACAGCTCTGCCGGTGCCCCTCACTCCCGACCCGCAGCCCCTGCTATACTAATCTACACTAGCTATTTCAGTGCAGGGACCCTGGGGAGCAGAGCCCCATTCACCACGCTGGGTGCTGCTGATGGATTTCACAGCAGGCGAAGGTTCGAAGTGGAGTCTCTCAGCGACACCCACCCTCGAGTGTCTTTAAGCTGGGGAGATTCAGCCTCCTCCTACCTCGAAACTCCCCCAGTAATCGGAGACTCCCAGAGCTGCATAGTCTGGTCTGAGGACGACGCGGTGATTCCCCTGCCGTGTCACATAACGTCTGGATTGACCTGCCCTGCCCGACAGGCCTGGGAACCCGGGGAACTCCGGTGGGATCTCATTCCATGTCCAGGACTAAGGCAGCCACACGATCAGAGTAAGATGTGTCTATCCCCATGTGGGGGGCGATACCGCAGCGATGGGAGCAGACCGAATGTCTAGAGAGAGAGGCTGGGAGCCAGGCTGGGTGGATTCGATGGAAGGGGCTGTCCGGGGACAGCGAGATAGATCACACGTGGGGGAGACATCACCCCAGTGCACCAAGTCAAACCCCAGGCCCATGAGAACAAACCTGTGCTACCATCGAGTGGTTTGCAGTTGTGCAGAGTTTTAAAAATTACACCTGTATTTGTATGGCCCAAAAGTCTCTTGCTTCAACCCAGCCCGGACACCGGAATCTGAAGCTTCGATTTGCATCACAAAGGGGGGTGTAAAATCTGGATTTATTCACACTGGCTCCTTGGTTAACATTTCTCATCAACATTCAAAGCTGCTCCGGCGCTCATGGGCCAGTCTATTCACTCCGGCTTTTGTTTCCACTATACAGCAGAACCTCAGAGTTACAAACCCGCGGGAATGGAGGTTGGTCGTAACTCTGAGATGTTCGTAACTGAACAAAACGTTCTGGTGCTTTCAAAAGTTTACAACTGAACAGTGACTGGACACAGCTTTGAAATGTCACTGTGCAGAAGAAAAATGCTGCTTTCCCGTTATTTGTAGTAGTTTACCTTTAACACAGCACTGTCCTGTACAGGGGCTGGGACCTGTGTGCACCAGACTCCGGGAAACTAAGGCAGGGAGCTGGAGCCTAGGACTGGTGTGTCTGGTACCTGGGGCTGGGGTGAGCTGGGGGGGTCTGGGTGCATGGGGCCGGATGGGACTGGGGGCCGGGACAGGTGCATGGGGCTGGGGATGGGGCCGGGACACGTGCACGGGCCGGGCGTTGCTGTATCTCGTGTCTCCGGCCCCCGGAGCAGCCCAGAGGCGGCGGTCGGTGCAGCCCGGGCTCCCCCTGGCGGCCGCAGCCGGTAGCAGCAGCGGGCGGGGCCCGGCCCGGGAATCCCCCGAAAGCGAAACCGGGCGGGCTCGGCGGGGTCCGGGCGCTGCCGCCCCGCGAGAAGGAGAAGGAGCCGGAGCCGGAGCCGGAGCCGGAGCTGCAGGTGCCGGGCCCGGGGGAGGCGGCGGGGAGCAGCCAGGGGGTGCCGGGGGCTGGTGCATTGGCCGGGGGGCACTGGGGAGGA